CCGAACCCAAAAAATAAAGAGTATTTAAGTAATTTAAATCTTCCGGTTTAAGTTTCCTCGTTATTAGCCCATTGAATAAATCGATCATGAAAGCTGTCGTGTTGTGGTTCGGTTTCTACAAGAACCAATGACAGAACGGAACTGGGAGGGGAATGTATAAACAGTATTTGGTAATGGTACGCTTTGCAAAAAGTTTGCGCAATTTTCCGAAAGCATCAAGTCCAGTTGCAACCTTGCGAACTGAACTGTGGGTAGTGTAGTTTGGCAGCTCAGCAAAGAACGGTCGCGCGTACACCTTCRACTACACTTCCCAGAAGACACCGCGGCTTCTAGAGCCGTGTATGTGAAGCAAAGAGGAAGATTTAAGAATTCGTGTGCAGACTTGGGTCAACGCTGGTGGAACAAATAATGGCAAGTTTTTAATCATTTATAGCACAGAATGTATTGTTCTTGCTTAACCTTGTCGAGAAAGAGCTTCTGTTTTGTTGTGGCGGCTAGCAGATAATGTCAAACTCTGTCAATAGCAGTGATTGCTGATAAGGACTGACAATTAGCTTACTAGCTAGCAAAATATACTTTATCCCAAAAATATGAGCTTTTAATCGCTGTCAAGAAGATGACAGTGGATWAAAACAGCTTAATTTCACATTTGTTGTCGCTAACATGCGCTGAAGTCAAATATATTTGTTGTCGGAACCTTTAACCAGCCAACTTTGTGGGTACGTGTGAGTGTTACTCCCCCTTTTTGTCAGAGGCTTTCCTTACGGGAATCTCCAGGCCAGTGTTGCGACAACAGCACGTTACAAATCCTGGACAGTCGCACATTGTGCAACCAGTTACCGGAGGAGCGGACGGTCCGCATGCCTTTCTGTTTACATCAGGAGCTAGCTAATGTTTCTCCGGGTCGCTGGTTCTGGGATCTGGTACTTCCCCTCTTTTCCATGTTGATTCCTGTCTGTCTGCACCTCAGCTATGGAAGCGATTGTGTTCCATAATCCTAATTAAAATGGATTAATAGAAATGCTGTTTCATTTTCAACATGTACC